CCGACAACCTTTGCGTGTTTGACTTCATAGTGCAAACAGCCTATTAACTGAATAGTAGAATAGAACAAATATATGTGAGAAAATGAGAAACGAACTTAGTTGTTAATTAAAGGTTTTCTTTTTTATGTTATTATCTTTCAGAGTCAACATGGTCAGGGATCTTGTCAGAAGTGTAGTGCTGCGTATTTTAACAGATATAAGCCCGAAAAATGTCAGTCTTGTGGATTTCACATTGGGGGATCCTATCAACCCAAATCCAAAACAACAAAAAATCGATGTTCCACAGTCTGCTGAATTTTTGAATCATGTAACTTGCCGATTTTTTTCATCCCGCACTGTCAGGAATCTATGGTTTTTTTTTATTGTAGACGGTGAGCAAACTCAGTGCCACAATGAGCAATGCAAGCTTGCCAGAGCTGCATTTGTTAACAGCAATAGTTCTTGTTCATTTACCTGCCCTCATATTGTGAAAGCGGAGGAAGCAGCTCAACCTCTGTCCACCCATACCTTGACACCCGAGGTAATTTCGCATTACAAAGCAGATCAAAGAACCAAGGACAGATTGTTGGAGGTTATGAATGCTGTGCCATTTCCACATTTGTATCGGTTATCAGAGTCTGTTTTCTGTGCTAATGGGCCACCAACTTCTTCAAACCCAATTGGATTTGTCCATCTTACAGTGGCAAATTGGAAAATTGAATGTTCGTCAAGTGACTGTAAAGGATATGGCAGTGTCATGAGGCAGGAAAAGCAAAAGAAAATATGCATACACTGTCATACCCTTTTGTGTTTCTACAGTGTGGCGATGTTAATGCCAGCAACATCTTCAGCNATATTTTTCTATTTTAGATTGAGTTTACAATGCCAATGACAGCGTGAGGTTTCAATCCCACAAATTGATGCAATCAAATAGTGTCTCAACCGTCAAGATTCAAAAAAGGGTTACCATATACTTCCCCTTTTTACATGATTTTCATGCTGAAATACAGATTTTCAGAGCCTCCAGCAAACTTAGAAGCCCACCCAGTCACTTTATACACTCTATTTTTTTTCCCATTTGGTATGAAGAATTGTGCATTTCGAAATTTCTGGAAGTGATAGGGCAAGTGGAGTTTGATTATTTATTAAGAGGTCAGTTGTTACAGTCTGCTGTCATCTGGTGGATACTTCTTTTTCATAGCCTGCGTAGCAAGCGTTTCTGTGTGGTTTTTGAGCGCTTTTTTCACGCAACCAAAATTTGGAAATCGGCTTTTTAACACTCAAAAACCACACGGAAACACTTGCTCCACAGGCTATCTTTTTCATGTGTGTGCAGTCTTACCGGTAATTCAAGTATTGAAATATTTATTATTGCAACAAAGATGATTGTGTAGCAAAATTTTATCATTACTTGTTTTTGTTGAAAACATTGAATGGGTCGGAAGTAAAAGCCAACATGAAATTTAGATTTACAAATATAGTGCATGTCACATGCCACAACATATTAATTTTGTTTACATACCTTAATAATTGATGCATCAATTTTATGCTATCAGATTTCCTATGCTCTTGAATCACAGCGGTTGACCACTGGAGGACATCCACTGCCATTGGATGAATTTCTGGAAAGAATCAAGTGCTATTTTGTGGAGTGCAACACATACACCCGTTCTGCAAAACCACTAAACTTTCATGTTTCGGAAATCCCACCAGTTGTTGCACCAAAGCTCTGTGGTGCAAATATTTGGAATACAGAAATGGAAAAGAAAAGTCAGTTTTTAAAAAAGCAGAGTAAATCTGTCGAGGGTAAGTAAAACCAGTTGAGAGTGGTTATTGTTCAAGCAAATAGAATTTCATCACCTAACTTTCATGTTTTGGAAGTCCCACCAGTTGTTGCACCAAAGCTCTGTGGTGCAAATATTTGGAATACTGAATTGAAAAAGAAAAGTCAGTTTTTTAAAAAGCAGACTAAAACTGTTGAGGGTAAGTAAAACCAGTTGAGAGTGGCTCTTTTTCAAACAAACAGATAGTTTCATCTAATAACAGCATTGATAAGTTGTTTAAAAAAAAAGTTACAGGTATTCTCATTTCACAAAATAACTCACTGAGGGCATCCTGAAAACAGTGCGTAAAATGTTTTACCCAGCTTAAATGAAGAAATCTTTGAATTGTTTGTTTGATGTACACATAAACAGACATTTCTTGTTTGTAATTACTTGCACTGTTTTGGAATAATTTCTTTAGCTTTTCATCTACTCCTGTCCTTGAGTGGTGTCATTTCCTACATGGTCACCCTCAATAGTTGCTTTTCCTGGTTTCTTCTTCAAGAAACCAGGTCAATGGCTATAGCTACCCACATAGTTCAGATTTCAGTGAACAGTGTGTTACCCTATGTGTTCTCCTGTTGTGACAGAGTGTCATTCTTGCATTGATCAGTAATGCCACAGCACACGTTGGCAACACCTGCACAGCATCAGGCATTCTTATTTTTTAGTACCTTTTTCACCACTGCCAACAACAACGTTTATTTCCCCCTTCTGGTTACAAAGTAATTGTATAACATCATATATTAATACTGTAGGTTTAAGGACCTGGCTACCTGAAATAACTATAGAGTTAAAAAGGGAGAGTACATTCACTAGTCTCATCATCCATGGTTTTCCTAACAGCTACCTTGGATGACTTCTACATTTTTTTTTCTAATACATTGTAGGTGATCCAGCCCTGCTCCACGCCAAGATTAGAGATTGTGCTTTTGACATGTCCAACATACAAAATTTATCATTGCCTGAACTTAAGAAGTTGTCTCTGGACCTTGGTATTTCTGTTTCTCAAAAGTCGAAGGTACGTTTGTATTTGATTCGCTGCATTGTAGGTACATGTTCATGTATATATATGAGACCTAAGTAAAATGCTTCTCTTTTTTTCATTAATATTATCAATGTAGCTGAAGTAATGTTATGAAAAAAAAAAACAACTGACAACGGTGAAGTGAAGGTGAACAAAGTGGAAGGTAGCAAACTGGTTGTGGGTTGGGGGCTAAACACATTGGAGTNAAATAACTTCGAGATGAAAAGATTTCATCAAAATGGTGACACCTTGGTTTTTACGTGTACAGGACTGACGTTGATTTTATTACATGTCTCCTTATTATCACTAGGTGTCACAACACAACAATTTTGATATTATATTAATGCAGTATCAAATGTTATGTGATGACGACTGATCAATCCAATTTTCATGTCCATGTAGATCACTGTCATTTCCAAGTGCCTTGCCCTGCAAGAGTCTGTGCGTGATGCAGCAGATTTATTTCTCTCGTTGAAGTATCCACCATTACTTTTCATTTGCGATACGCCCTGTGGTTTTGCCAGGCATATTGATTGCCGTGCACCTGATGTGGGAAAAAAACTGTGGGGAAAGTTCAGTGGATGTTTTGAGATTCTTGACAGCGACAGGTCACCATCACAGGTGTGAAGCATTTTGTAATGACCAGGTCCCATTGGAAAATTAGCATGTGTGTTGATGTTTTCTCATTTCTTGATCATATCGGCTGCTTAATTTAATTTCACTCATTACACTTCATTTAAGTCCTCCCTTCTCTTATAAACCTCCTCTTTTGAATTCAGATTTTGTTATACTCACCCCCTCCCCTATTAACAGACCCACCCTTAAGTCTTCCTTATATAGGTAAACAGATCAATGAATTAACAGAAATAATTTTTTTGCAGGGGAAGAGTGTCCCTCATATTGTACCTTCAGAGTACCTTGCCAGCTCTGTACCTCTCCATCGTCAATCACACGAAGATGAACCTCTGATGCATCCCATATCTGGAGATTGCAGACGATACATACTTGGTGATCGATTCCATTCAGCAAGCAATCCACATAAATCACCTTTATGTGCATTTCACAACATTAACCTATGCTTACAAGCCAATAGCGTGAAGACAAGCTATCAGGAGAGTGAAAATAATCGCAAGAACATTTGTAGACTGCGAAGTGCCTGTGTTCAAGGTTTTGGGGTCCATTTCCTGTACAACTTCCTCATGGACTTTTATCCAAACGAACAGATTGTACGCAGACAGGTTGCTACACTGAAGAAAAATACACAAGGCAATTGTGATATTGTTAGAGATGAATTTATGTGTTTTACTTTTAAGCAACCTGTATCAAAGAAGTAATTTCAGCATTAAGGAGTATCTGTACTGGATTGTTGGCAATAATTTCAAGCTATACAAATAAATTACATTCTCCATTTGGGGCTCAAATATTGGTATTTGCCTGTGGATATCTGTTCACAGAAACGAATAGTTTTCCTAGAGCAAAATATTTGTACATACTTAAGCAAAATTGAGATTACCGTATTTATTATCTTTTAACTGTTTTTACGAATACTTCTGTGAGACAAGAAAGAAGAGGAAGTGGAACAAGAACTGAATGCCATGTGGGATGAGCAGGATGACATCAATGACTAACTCTTGTGCAACTTTAAATAGTTTCCACCCTCGCAAAACTCGCATCTTGCGTATGCTCAGTTTAACAAGACATACTATCTTCCTTGCATTCTTCCAACGTAAAAATGCACACATGTCGCTTGTAAATAGTGTATATATTGCTGGGCACATCCAATTTGTAAAATTTGGAATTTTGAGAAATAGAGTTGTTAAAAACCAATTTCCTGTGTTTTTTTTTGGGAGGGGGGGTGAGGGGAATGTCAGACACCCTTGTGTGACGGTTTATCTAAAATTAACCATTGTGACATCATGGTGATAATATTCTTTTATTACTTGTGATGTTGACAAATAGGCTAATAGCCTAATCTCGATACATTGAAATTCAGCCATACATAAATGATACACCTCAGCATGAGCCCCTGGGGTAGGAAATACATTGTTGAAGTTCTTTAAACTGATGAAAACAGTGTTCCATTTGAAGAAGACTTCGAAAGTTGCAACAATTGCAAGCATGCAAAACCCTGCTGTCGTAATCGCAAAAATTGATTCTACAAAACAAAACAATACACCATAAAAAAATTTGTGCCACAGGGTATATTCTACATAACATTAAAAATTCTTATTTTCATATAATTGAATTCTTATTGTAGTATTCTTTTTTTGAGGTGATATTATCTATTTCCTTATTTAAAAAAAGGAAGTTATTTTGGTGCTCAGTTTTCAAGTGGATCCTTGCTATACTTGGAAAGTGAAACAAGTGGATATTGTTTACTTTACACTCCTTTGATATAATCTATATATAAGGAAGTTTATTTTAAAGCCCTTTGGAAGCACTATGATAGTGGGATTTGTCACTGCTTTACCTTCACAAAGTAGCAGCAGTTATCTAAATAATTGGAACAAAAACACTAGTTCATCATCTACATCATCTTTTTTAAATTCTTGATTAGCTTTAAAGCGTGTTTTTCGAAGATAACTCATGAATTTCCATTTCCCCCCCCACACACACACGAGAGGGGACGTACGTTTTGTGAACAAATGCCTGACTTAATTTATGTTGAAGGGAAACTCCACTCTTACAACAAATTGATACTTCATTCTTGCAAATAATTATTAGATTCCAAATTTTGTTTTATAGAGATAAAACATGGATATAACATTTAAGTGTCAAAAAAATCTATCACGATTTCAAGGGCTATTGTCTAACACACAAGATTTTCTGTGTCATATGCTTCCTGATAATAGCTGTAACCAACTGATGTTACAAAATCAAAAATGGCAGCACCCGGGATATTTAACAGTGAAAAAAAAAACAATGATCCCCAATATTTTGTGCATTTTAATTGCTGTTCCCATGTTTAACTACATTTTGTAAACTTGTACTTAGGGTCAATTTGGTGTAGGAGTGGAGGCTTCCTTTATATAAATAATGAGTAATAATATTAACATTACAATGGCATATCTAAATTAATTAGCTATTTCTAATACACAAGCTGGCATATGGAAAAGGTGTCCTTTTCAAACATCTTGTCAACATACTATTTTAAGCACAATAATTATTATAAACTATGAATGTAAGTGTCACTGTCACAAGGCTGTATTCTAGCAGTGCTGAGTGCATCCTGGCCTAATGTTTACCCTTGGGCAAAAACAATCTGATTTGAATAATTGTTTGGTTGACACCCCAGATTTTTAAGGTAAGGGCCTTGGGCTCCCTAGAATAATTTGTATTAGAGCACAGCCTTGGAATCTTAAAGTGTGAGTCATAAAGTGCAGCAGGAAATAAAAAAAGGTATTGACATTTTTTAAGCACACGAAAAAAACAAAATGATCTAGAAATGGGAAGTGTGCATTGTTTTCAAATGCACTTTTATTTTTCCGGACCTAGCTTAACCAGAGATTCTCTAACTACTTAAAACTTTTTCTGGGAAACATATTTCAGAATTGTAATTTACAATAAATTATTGTCAGAAGTCCATCTCCTGTTTGTGATTTGCAGTGTTGATTGAGGTTTTGGTTCAGTAGACACTAAAAGTTCATTTGTTGCACTAAAAGTTCTTATAGAAAGGTCATTTCAATTACTTGCCAGGAATACCCTGGTATTTTACGTGTTGTGTTCTGTGAAGTGGGTTCATTTCTTTCCACATCCTTGGCACACCCACTTCTCGTCCTCTTTTGGCACTGATTTCAGATTTGCACATTCCCTGTGTGATGAAAGGAATAACCATGTTAAGCGGCTGGCAGGATTCTTGTTCAGCCCTAAAGGTATCCCTTATAGCTGTTATAATAATTAATTTCTCATTTGTTGTGTTTTGATTTATCACATCTTTCATAAACCTCTCAGTTTTAGAATTTAAGCAATGGTATTACATGTATAGAGAAGTTTTTTTGCTGATCACAGAGGACTGGGGTTTATAGGGTTCACAAATTAAAAACCATTTTAAGTACCCAATTAGTTGTTTTTCAAATTGAACTAGAGGTTTGGCCCCATGCATATAAGCATCCATCTATTGACTTTTATAAGTAGCATCCCATATTTCTCAACTCTACATGCATGTACTTACTTGCGGTACCATTGTGAACATGTGTCACACATTATCCACATTCTAGACCAAGTCTTCTTCTTATAAGGACTGGTTTGGTGGCATTTTGCACAAAGGTCTTCATTTTGCTTAGGACTCTTTGCTGTACATAGAAAGGTGAACAATAGTACTTGACTTAGATTACATTGCATTTATAAAATTGAATCACATGAGCATCATACATATTTTTTAATCTAATTCCTTCTTGTCATAATCCTGTAGTTATTCATAATCAGGAAATTCAGAATAGAACTGGTTTGAAACCATGCAATGTTAACTGCACATTTGGAGGATGTAGACATGGGAAATTTTTCTTTATCTTTCTGAACTCAGATGTGATAACAATGAAAATTCACCTCCAGGAAAAATTTCCTACAGTTGACAAACACTGTTTCAAATTAATAATTATAGTTCTTAAATGACCCATGACAAGTTGCTGTTGTTTATTACTTAAGGTACTGATCAGGTCATGCTTTCTGCATTGATCTGTTATATTATATTTCATCCTTTAAGTCACTTAAACATTACCCCTTCCTTTCATAACTAAGGATAATGTTTATGTTGTCATATTTTAATAATTTATAATTTACCATGTCGAGGTAGAACGCCAATGGTCCCTGCAGGAAATAATCTTTTCTGAGTACCTTAAAGTGAATAGGAAAACACATTGCTATATTAATAATAGTTATATTTTCTATACATGTCATGTTGTATTCTTTTTTTGTTTTTCNATAGGTATGCAATGGTTACTGTATAGGTGACATTCTTTTTGTCTTATTATCTTATTATCCTACCTTGAAGTTTGCTCAAAACATCGGCATTTAACAAGGAGATGGGCACTTTCCATCCCCTGTAAGACTTGCACTTTTTGTTTCTTTTTTTGAGGTCATCAAGGGTGCATGACTAGCTGTCTGCAAATGACAGTGATATGCATTTTGTGCAATCTGTTGCCTCCCTCAACCAGTTGCTGACCTCCTACAGTGTAAAACCAAATTTTCATTTCAATACTTGGTGTAAATAATATTATTTTGTCGTTTTCATTGGTTATGATAGACTATTGTAAAAAATTTAACAGTTAAATGCATGTCATTTTACCATTTTTAATACATATGATCTCAATATTAAAACTTGTCATTTTGAAAATATATTGCTGACAAACAAGTTAGTTGATGTATTGAAGATTCATTTAATACCATTCTTCATATTGCGCTTGTTTTTCTATCGGGGTAACAGCGTAAGTTATGTCAAGATCAAGAATTCACTGTATTTAGCTATATGCATCACTGAGTTGGTTCAGGGTGCTTTTGATTAATACAAAACAGAACTTTTTTTAGACCAACTTAAATTTAAGTCAGCTCTGTCATGCTGCCCCCTTATTATTTTGGCTCTTAATTCACACTCTATAAATTATTGATAATTATCAAAGAGCCCGCCATTTGGAAATTATTAAAGAACCACTTTTTACCTTCACAGAGACCTGTGCGAATCCCTCCAGTGCAGAGGCTTTAATGCCAATTGACATCACAAATTTTTCTTTCACCGGAACTTTGACAGTGGCATTCAACCAAGTAAGAACCTGCAAATGTGAAAAGTATACAACTTATTAATGATATATTTTAACCAGGTTATATTTCAATATGCTTATGTAAAAAATTAATTAACACAAATCACTTTTTTTTTTTGCTTTCATTGGATTAGGATGACCTTGTTCTGAGTTTGCTGTACTGATTTCTGGGGCTAAAATGCTCTAATTATGTTAGTTAATTCCCTATTACCTAGTGATTCTAAATAACCTGGTAATTTTGTCTTGTTCTGACCTTCTGCATTGTTAAAATGTTGACTTTGCTTACATTTGATTCATCAGTCTCCAGTTTGGAAAGAATACTTCTCTGCAGCCTAGTTAGCGTATCCTCTTTTTGAACCATTTGATTCTGATTAAGAACTTCAGCAACCACTTTGCAGGTTTCTGGATTGATACCAGCTGATGCATGGAGCTAATGATTGATGACAAAAGTTACATTTTAAATACAAAATTATTATAATGAAGTGTGATTATTACCCTATATAACTAATACTTTGCACTACATTAACATTTATTTAATAAATTAACAAGCATTTTCATTGATGTGCAGCAGACTTGACAAACTATTTTTTAGCATCCAGTTTGATCATATACCTCGTGTAATTTTCTTTTTGTGAATGTTATAAACATAACAGCCTGTGTATATAGTGGGCCGATCTAGTTCAAAACAATGGTAAGGCCGGAAAACTTGGCAAGGTTTGAATCATTTTTACACAGGCACATTGTGCCTTGATAGTTAAGGCATACATGTTGGTTATTTTTGAGTTAATATCTTTTTGTTTGAATAAAATTTCCTAGATCCCACTTGCCATAAATTCATCCTGAATTATATTCGAGATGTAATATATTTATGAACTTACAATAACATGGGTTGCTATAACTGCAGCAAATCCTTTTCCACCTTGGCTGCATCTTAATGAATAGTAGGTACATCTAGGACTGACTTGATGTCAGCAAAAATGTCTGGCATTAATTGCTGCCAAGCACATTTCATTTGGATAGCCCAAGCCAGAAGAAAACC